GTTGAAATTTCAACCCTGCTAGCTGAAGCAGGGTTGAAATTTCAACCCCGGGGTTGAAAATGCTCCATGTAATCGGCCCCTAAGTTCTATAATTTCAACAAATAACTTGTAAATACTAATATCATGTGCATAATAAATCTTTCTTTCTTTCTTCTTCTGACCACGGTGAAAACTTTTCAGCTTGTCCGGTGTGGAAGCTCATTCAGAGTAACATCACAAACATCATATTCACCTGAGTACATAACACCACATACACAATAAAGCAATATGGTTGGCTAATTTACTCATGAATTATTATTATCCATATACTATGGATTTAGTGATGCTATCGCAAATTCCATATGAGTAAAAGAGGCTTAGTTTAGGTTTCCTCTCTTATCTCATAGTCTATATGGTTTCCTCCTGTGATATAAACATTTGACCAACAGGCAACCCAGCGGGCAAAATGACGTTTATCCAGCGTTGAATCAACGTTGGAAATGACCTTCTAGACGTTGGATAGACGTTGAAAAAGGATTGACTATGCAAATTGGATCGACGTTACTATTTCGACGTTGAAACAACGTTGAAATTAGGTTGCCAATTTCGTCAGCCATAATTCAACGTTGAATCCACGTTAAAACAACGTTGAGATTGGTTCACAAATCGACGTCGTACATTTAACCATGAATGAACGTTAATTCAACGTCTGTTGGCTGCTGTTGAACCAATGTTTGTAAAACAACGTCAGAGCAACGTAGATATTAGATTGTCGATGTCACAACCTTTTTTCTACCAAATTACAACGTTGAAACAATGTCGTGTGCCCGGTGGGAAGTTGCATAACATAACATAACTTATCATAACATAACGTACTGAAAGGATACTGTATGTCTCGTCCTTCCTATAATCTGATACTTTTAAAGTTTTCTTTTGTATTATATCAGTTATTACTAAAATGTCTTGTCACCTATTTGTGATAAACATTTAAATACTGTATATTGGTTAATTGCCAATCAAGGGTTAGGAAATCCAACCCTACCGAACTTAAGTGCAATGTTCATTGCTTCAAAAAAACCTTTCTTTGAGCTATGGACTGTGGGAATCCTTAATACCGCTGTGCACGATGATGTTGTTGGTAGACTCTTAGTATCGTCATCTGCCAAAAATGCTACCTTCAACCTTTTTGCTAACCCACCAAATGGAACCACTGTCCATCCAGTCCAGAACTGTAAGAGTGCACGTTGTCGGGAATCACCAGGAAACTCTTCATCTTTGTTAATATAAGATTTCAACCATTCATATGCTTGACGTTCAGAAAAACTGTGAGATTCCACTGCAATAATCATTTCCATTATGCCATCTGCAGTAAGTGGTTGGAGTTCTCCATCGGCAAATAAAATTGTGCAGATCTCTTTATTCTTTTGAAGAAGCTTAAGGAGGCTGATGGATTTTAATCCCTCTGAAAATTCCTGTATTTCGTTTTTCCTTGAGACAAGCAATTCGTGCGACAAAAGATGCTGTAAAAGGAAATCTTTACTACTCGTACTGATCACCTTTTCTTTTGGCCATCGTGACGAATTTATAATCTGCCAAAACGCTTCACATTTCGAATTTTCCTCTAACAGCTGATGGATATCATCATCGTTTTCACATGTTTCAAGACAGTTTATGAATTCATGCAATAATGTGGTTGAGGAATCCAGTGGAATGTGCTTCTTCGTAATTTTGGATATGGTTTCATCCTCTTCTTCTCCTACTATATAGGAGTAAATATGTGGTGCCAGAAACGGAAAGCCAATCGAACTTCTCTGGAATAATGCATGGCTTACAATTACACCAGCAAGCTGAAACAACATACCTTTCGTTGCATCTTTGATTGGTACCATATTTGGCACAGCACCTTCAAACAATCGAGATTTTACATCATTAAGGGCCAATGAGAAAAACTCTATCTTCATTGCGCCACCGTCAAGACCTTCTTCATTTTTGAACAAGACACAAAATTCTTTTCGGAGGATATCTGGTTTTGTAAGTGATCTCTTATAGAACTTAACAACGTCCATCCATAATGTGTCTCGGTCTACAAGTATACATTCGTCACAAGATAATTCGTTTTTCTCTACAAACGACTCAATTAAATCCTCCAAGGATAGATTTTCCTCCTTATCAGCTGTCTGCTTGTCAAGAAGTAGGCATGCCGCATCACCAATTGTGATGGCAACTGATGCAATATCTTGTAGATCTTCTTTTTCAGCATTAGGAAATGCATGCTCTAATTGTGGCAACCAACTTTGCTTAGACGTGCCAGGTATATCAGAGTCTGCGACTATCTTAACTTCTGGCGTGCTTGGGGTATTCACTGCGACTATCTTAACTTCTGACGTACTCGGGGTATTCAAATTTACAATATCTTCTATCATAACTTCAGAATCATCTTGCTTTAAAATACCTTCAATTTCGTTGTTTAAAAACATTGCGCTAACATAACAACAAGCATTGTATAATCATTCATAGCACTGCCTCTATAATCATTCACATAGTGATGGCTCGTTCTTTAAAAACATTGCGCTAACATAACTGACAACAAACATTGTATAATCATTCGCAGCACCGCCTTCATAATCATTCATAGTGATGGCTCGTTCTTTAAAAACATTGCACTAATATAACAACAACCATATAACCATTGTATAATCATTCATAGCAGTACTGCCTTCATAATCATTCATAGTACTTGCCCGTTTTTTAAAAACATTGACATTGTGCTAACTGCTAACATAACAACAAGCATTGTATAATCATTTATAGCACTGCCTCTATAATCATTCATATAGTGATGGCTCGTTCTTTAAAAACATTCGGCGCTAATATAACAATTAACAACCATTGTATAATCATTCATAGCAGCATAGCACTACCTCTATAATGATTCATACTACTTGCTCGTTCTTTAAAAACATTGCGCTTACATTATCAGTTACATAACAACAAACATTTTATAATCATAGTTTATAGCACTAAAAATATTGCTCTAGTATAACGTCAACAACCATTGTATAATATCATTCATAGCAATACCTTCATAATCATTCATAGTACTTGCTCGTTCTTTACTGAAAACATTGGCCTTACATCACAACAAGCATTGTATAATCA